GAGCTATATTCACACAAGACATTGAACTAGATTTTTTTTTTACTTTTTTCTGTTTTAGTTTGATGTGCAAACCCAACCTTTTTGGTTAATTTATGATTATTGTTTTTGTCTGTGTGTGCCTTCATGACATTGTTGACTCCTGGCAACTATCTGGACTAGTCCCTACAGTTTTCTTGGCAAGATTTCAGAAGTGGGTTGCCATTGCCTCCTTAGGGCTGAGAGAGTGTGACTGGCCCAGCTGGCTTTGTGCCCAAGGCGGGACTAGAACTCACGGTCTCCTGGTTCTAGCCCGGTGACTTAACTGTTATCTCAGACTGGTTCTCTGATTCAGCGTGTTATGTGAATTTAAAACATGAGTGAATACAGGAACCAAGTTAAACGTGTAGTTCAAAATAGGTAGTAATGTATGATCCTGACCTCTTGTTGAAGCAAAAGCTAGGATTTTTTTTTTTAACATAGTAAATAAACATTGAATTATCTGTTGGTTAAAGAGGAGTGATTAGAAATAACTCTTCTCATTCTTGGTTTGAAAGTTATTTGCTGGTGAAAGGGAGGGGCCCTCCCCTTTCTGATATCCTGCTAGCCCTCAAGTTTGTGTTTCTACAGAGCCTACCAAGTTAAGGCATAAACAGTCATCACATAATCTTAGATAAGAGGCACAAACCACTTGCAACTCTAGTAAGAGTCTGTGACTCTTTAGCTTAAATGGAATAAGCTGTGTCTGCCCTCCTTCCGTTTAATTCAGCCCTGATTCATGCAGCAAGGAACCATTGCATGCGTGCACCGAGTCTTCCTTTCTATGGAAAGCTTGATCAATTTCCCTTTTACCACTTTGATACTTAGTGGGTGGGTTGGGAGTTATGCAGAACATTTCACTGGTGTTACCAGTGATTTTTGCATGTGTGAAAGGCACCAAGATCAAGATGTTTCCTATCTTCCCAATTTAGGGACATAATGCAAACTTCATTGATCAGGAAGCATTCTGAATAGAAAAGGCAGGTAGGTTAAAGTACATAGAAAGTTATGACAGCCACTCAGGTGGGTTTTTTGCATGTGATCTGAAGCGTATTAAATGGTGGCTTTCATGGAATATTGAAAGTACTGACAGGCCCAAGGGAAGAATATTCACTGAGCCCACACCCTTTTATTATCCCTTTCCCTGGCTTGTGCTTTCTTGATGATTTATATCCATTAAGGTATTGTCAATATCATAGTAGCTGAGAATTGTAGAGTTGAAAACCTGAAATAATTATTGGGGTTACATTTTAAATGTTTCATTTTACTGCTTTAGATGAAAAACGTCAAGTTATCTGCTGTTCATGAAGTCATCAGGAATCAAGCTCAATTTTTCCTACCTTATCCTTCTATCCTTTCTGTTGTTTTTGACAAGACTGTAAGCCTGAGGGCAAGAAATGTTTTGTTTTAATTGATCTAGAAAAGCCTTTTTAGCTTTTCTAGCTGAAAAGCAGATATTTCAACTTTAAATAAAAAAAGCAATAAATATGTAATGACTTAAATGTTAATGTCTTCACTGTGAATTCCATTTCATGAGCAATAGAAATTCCAGGGATAGCTGAAGAACTGGAGACATATGGTAGCTTTGTAACATCCTAAATTTACAAATATCTAAATGGAGCAGGAAGTAGAAATCTGGAAAGCAGTTTCTATTTTATTTATTTATATTTCAAATTTGTCACCGCCCATCTCACTGTGGAGTGACTCTGGGCAGTTTATCCACTCACCCAATTTGCAGTATATGTTTGGAGAAACTTAGCTGAAAAAAATGATACAATTATTTCTGGTCATATTACAGATTTTGCTAGGTAGTAACCACTTGTAATTAAAAAAGAGTGAAGCAGTTGCACACATATACACATAATCTGTTGATTACTTCTCTTGGCGTTTCACAGTAGCATTCCTACAACATCATACCATTTTGCTTTTCTGTGATTTTTATTAAAAGAGCTTGTAGTTCCAATAGGTTGATCTGCCCAGACAATTATCTTATCTGCTCCACTGCTACACCCTTTGTATAATTCCCCCAAAGTAATTAAGAGCATCTTCTAGCATTGCCCAGGCATTGCTGAAGCTGTGTTAAGCCTGTTTTCATTACAGATATATCAGCACAATTATGCTTGGGTGAAAGTCTCTTGTGCACTAAATCCCAAGTGCAAAAATGACCCAAATCAGGATTTTTATTTATTTACCAACATTTATCTCTTACCTATTCTCAAGATTCTACTTTGGGTACGACTTTTGTATTACCTCTGCTGAGCCATTGATGGAAGGGTCAAAAAAAGCCCATTGAATTAGTCACAAAACAGAATCTTCCATTCACTGGTTCTTTATAGACCAATCCAAACAATTAAGATTACTTTATATTGTGAGGCAAACAGTCCCACAGAGCCCTGTGCAAATATGCTGCAAATTAAAGCTAAATGTAAAGTCACTTCTAGTAGGACACAGTAACTATGCGATCACTTCCAGAGATTCAGCAGTAAAAATGTTAAAAAATAATTGTTTCATTTAATAGAATCTGTAATATGGTGTCAGTGGGATTGGGACATTTAGCATCATCTGAGAAATTCTTTATTCCTGAGGACTAAGCTCCATAAAACTTGGTGTGAATTACTTGATATACATAGCATTGTCCAAATGTGATGAAGAGGAGTAGTGTATGTAATGGAGTGGCTGTGGGTTAATGACTCCTCTGTATCTGGGACTTTGTCATCTTTGGTGCTGAATGGGGTATCACTGCCCCAGACAGACCCAGTGCGTAATCTGGGGGTCCTCCTGGACTCACGGCTCCTGCTCGAAGAGTAGGTGGCAGCCGTGGCCAGAAGGGCCTTTGCACAACTTCGGGTTGTGCACCAGTTACGCCCTTTCCTGGATCAGGTTGCTCTTTGAACAGTCACTCATGCCCTTGTTATCTCCCAGATAGACTACTGCAATGTGCTCTACATGGGGCTACCCTTGAAGAGTATCTGGAAGCTTCAGCTGGTCCAGAATGCAGCCGCGCAAGCTATTTTTACCCACATAACACCGTTACTCTGCGAGCTGCATTGGGTATGGGGTCCAATTCAAGGTGTTGGTCATCACCTTTAAAGCCCTACATGGCATGGGAGCAGGTTACCTAAGGGACCTACCCTTGAAGAGTATCTGGAAGCTTCAGCTGGTCCAGAATGCAGCCGCGCAAGCTATTTTTACCCACATAACACCGTTACTCTGCGAGCTGCATTGGGTATGGGGTCCAATTCAAGGTGTTGGTCATCACCTTTAAAGCCCTACATGGCATGGGAGCAGGTTACCTAAGGGACCTACCCTTGAAGAGTATCTGGAAGCTTCAGCTGGTCCAGAATGCAGCCGCGCAAGCTATTTTTACCCACATAACACTGTTACTCTGCGAGTTGCATTGCTTCCGGGTCCAATTCAAGGTGTTGGTCATCACCTTTAAAGCCCTACATGGCATGGGAGCAGGTTACCTAAGGGACCTACCCTTGAAGAGTATCTGGAAGCTTCAGCTGGTCCAGAATGCAGCCGCGCAAGCTATTTTTACCCACATAACACTGTTACTCTGCGAGTTGCATTGCGTATGGGGGCCAATTCAAGGTGTTGGTCATCACCTTTAAAGCCCTACATGGCATGGGAGCAGGTTACCTAAGGGACCTACCCTTGAAGAGGATCTGGAAGCTTCAGCTGGTCCAGAATGCAGCCGCGCAAGCTATTTTTACCCACATAACACCGTTACCCTGCGAGCTGCAGTGGGTATGGGGGCCAATTCAAGGTGTTGGTCATCACCTTTAAAGCCCTACATGGCATGGGACCAGGTTACCTAAGGGACCACCTCTTCCCCATGACTTCAACCCGTCCCATCCGATCACACAGAGAGGGCATGCTCTGGACTCCCTCGGCAAAAGAG